AAGTATAAAGATATTTGATGGAGTATATGGCCCAGGGACCCCCCAGCCCACATACTTCCACTATTACATTCAGGCTCAACGGGCCAAGCCCAGCAGAATGAATCTCTAAGCAGCCCACGATGCATGAAGGGGTGCCTTCGGCCGAAGGCTATCAGTGACAGAATTGGGTTCAACAACATCACGGGAAAATAAGGCTTGAAAACCAAGCCTTCGACAATTGGAGCCCTTGGCCCTATTAGGTCCCCAGCACGCAGAGCCTGCAGACTGTCATCTACAGCCGAAGGCATCCTCCTCGACAGAATCTCTCGTCCACATGCGCTGGATCACCGTACCAAGTACAAACGTCGCATCCAACCACCGCATTTAATGCGGCCACATGCGAGTGACAGTGCCACCCCGGTTGAGGTGACCCCTCGACCACCAGAATGCTGACACGTGTCCCTATCTAAGCATTTATTGCTACTATAAATAGCTGCCCCTTTCCCCTTTGTAAAACACGCCTTGAATGCATAACTCATATATTCGAACTCACTCTCTCTCTTACTTATGTGTTCTGACCTCTCTCTCTAAGTTACTCCCTGCAGTAACCCCTCAGATAAGCTACCCCTCGGGTACACTATCCATCAATATTTTTATACCAAAAACTTATTAAAAATTGAAAAGTGGACAAATAATAAAAATCTTTCAAAAAGAATATATGACGGTTAAAAAGGAAAGGAGAAATTACATATAGTATATGGTAGAAAGTAACCAAAATTCTTTAAAAGGGACTAAAATATGTATAAATAGAAGTGTAGAATCATCAACATTTCTTTCTTTACATAATATATGACTATTTCACTTTTAATTGAAAATGTTTTATACTTGCAGTAATTAAGGCTGAAACTCACTCCATTGAGTTTCAAACCCTTTATGTGTCTAGCGGGTTTCGAACTCGAGGCCTCTCACTAGGCATGATAACCTTACAACCAGCTGGGCTGGAATGCTCAGTTTAATTCAATCTATGCATTTTATCTATATCATGCTACGGAGTCAATTCTATATTTTATACTCCGTAAGTTTTAATAGGATAACAAATTTGAGTTTTTTCCCCAAAATAACGTTAAATAAAAAATTATTTACAAAATTAGGATCTCGGTGAAAATATTTACCAAAATAATGTTGGAATATACTATGGTTAACCAAAGCCATCAATTCACATGGCGACTCTCTCTTAGGATCCGAAATCACACGTAGGTAGCAAGTAAATAGGAATCTATCCAACAGAAACAATCTCATGAGTGAGACCCAGAGTCCGTTTGATAACACTGAAATCGGGTGAATCGACTAGGGTTGTAAACGAACCAAATCGAGTCGAATATTGTGATTTTGTATTTGTATTTGTTGAATTTTTTCGAATACAAATTCGAATTCGAATATGAAACGAATAATATCTTCGATTTGTATTTGTATTTGTTTAACAATACGAATAGTTAATGAATCATATACGAATATCATTTTTATGTTATAAATGCATGCTATGATTTAATATGCGTTTTTAGAATTTAATTTGTGACATTTCATTTTTGTTTAAAATTTAATGGATCGATGCATTTTCAGATTGTGCACAATTTACTGAAGTGAAACAATTTTAATTTATGATTACTATACATAAATATATTCAAATTTTTTGAATTAACCACTAACTCACACATGTTAGAGATTATACCTATAATTTGTGAAATAAGTTGATAATTGCATATATTAAAGTCAAACGACTCTAATTTTATGTTATATATTTAGCATTGTTAATAATAAAAACACCACCAGATATATAGTTTATATTACACACATAGTAGGCAGTTGATGCACATAAACATACTAGACAGTTGATTTTGTTTATGTATAAATGAATATATATTTGATTATTCTTCGAATCAAATATATAACTTTTGGTATTTGTATTTGAAAGATGTTTGAACCAAACATTAGATTTATATTTGTAATTATTTTCTATATTTTCAAATTCAAATCACAATTTATGAATCAAAATCATGAATTGAATTAAAGTTATTTGTTTCATTTACAACTCTTACTCCTCGTGGTAGTTCTGATTTATTACAAATTGACTTGAATTGTGTATACATAAATGTATATATGGGCTACACTTTGAGGGCATAGCTAGGTTTTGAAAGTTATTTTTAGTATTACCACTACTACTATTACTACTACTATTATTAATATTATCACTATTATTAATAGAATATATTTGATTAACATTCGAATCGAATATACTGATATTTGTATTTGTATTTGATAATATTTCGAATCAAATTTAGTATTCTTATTTGTATTTCTATTTTGAATTTTTTGAATTCAAACCGTCTTATAAGAATTCGAATCCCGAATGGAGCATAAATTATTTGATTCGTTTACGGCCCTAGAATCGGCTGATTCTGCTGAAATTTATGAAGTTCTGGCTGAAGTGGGTGTATTGGTTGATTCTGCTGATTTATGAATAAATTATATTTAAAATATATTTTATTAATAAAATAAAGAAAACATTATATAAAAAATAGCTAAAATGATCATCTACGGTAACTCAAGCCAATACAGCCAGAAAAGTAACTCTAACCTTACCTTTTCTTATTATTACCGAATTTAGCGCGCGAAATTAAAAGATATGTGTTTGGTTAAAAACTTGGCTTATAAGCCTGATAGGCCGAAAAAAGAGAGTTACCAAATGGGCTCCCAAACTCAAAAAGTTTCTTATATTTCTAAACTGTTATAACTTTTATTTATATTCTGAATTTTACAAACGAATATATCAAAACTCATAATTTTTATTATCTTTAATATGACATCAATGTTGGATATATAATCTGCAGACACATTGAATGGAACTCAATTTTTTTTATTAGATTTATGTTCTAAAATAAAAATCTCATGATCAATTCGGGAATATTTTATTTATTGGCTACCGATGTTTTTACATACTGTTTTTTGTCCCAATTAAAAACATACTAAAAAGTCAATAGAGAATGCTTGTGACATTTATTTGTTTTGTCGATTCCATTTGAGTTATTTTAGAATTTAATGACTCCTTATCGACACTTTCGGCCAATAAATTAAATATCTCGTTATTGCAACATGAAATTGCGGTATACAGTTTGAGTTGTAATTTTAGAACATGAATTTATTTTAAAAAAAAATGAGCCTAAAAACCACCACCTTAGTACCCATCAAATATTGAGATTGCATTCAGCGGTTAGCGGATAACGGGTTATGTTAGCAGGTTGTCAATAACGGATTCAGTCAGCGCGTTTGACTAGTAGAATAAATTGACAGGTTGTTAGAAGGTGTTTGTTAAGTTAGCTGTTTGGCCATAAAATTAGTAGAAAATGCCATTTTCCAAAATGCCAACCCAAAACTCTCCTATTAAAAACGTTTACATTTCAGCGTTTTCGTCCAAAAGCGCTAGTACCGAACCGCTGTTTACCAAACAACTTTTTCACTTAGTGAGAACGTTGAAAGTGGCCAAACCGTCATTTTTCAGCTGAAACGCCGTTCACCAAACACCCCCTCAATTTTATTGTACTCCGTATATATTCAATATTGGTGTCAAAAGTGTTTTTTAAGAGGGGAAATTTTATATGATAAAAAAAGGAGGGGAAATTTTATTTATTGACACTAAGAACCTGTTTGGTAACACTTTTTTCAGCTTATCGGGTTTATTAGCTAACTTTTATCGATCTAGGACCTGAAACATAGATAAATTATCAATCTGGGACTTGAAAAATTAATTGTATCAATATAGGACTCGATTGGTAGAAAACTATCAATTTAGACCCCGAGTGATTGAAAACTATCAATTTAGGACCTAAGTTGTCATGAATTTTATTTTATTTTTTATTTTAAAAATTTTAAATATTATTTATTTTTATTAAACTAATATACTTTTGTGGAGAAAAGTTTATAAAAAATTAGCAATGCAATTAATAAAAAAATTAATAAATCAAAACCTATGAAATGTTAGATCATAGATCGATAGTTTTCCATCATTCGGGTCATATATCGACACATTTCTTCTTTTGAGTCCGGGATTGATAATTCGTCTATCTTTCAGGTCCTCAATTAATAAAATTCCTATAACTTTTGATTTTGCGCTGTGTAATAATAACAAAAATTAAGATTGAGCTTACTTTTTTGGCTGTATTGGCTGAAGTTACTATACATGATCACTTTAACTATTTCTTCATATAATTATTTTCATAAATCAGCATAATCAACCAATCCGATCACTTTATCCAGAACTTCATCGAAATCGGTCAATTCAGTTAATTTCAGTGTTACCAAACGTAATCTAAGAAATTATGAGATCTTAAGTTTAGAATATGGATCTATTTAAAAAGTTTGTAGCCTAAAAAACCTCCACTCATCGTATCTTCATTTTTTTAATTATATATATAGAATATTAGTGTCATATAAAAGATAATAAAAAATTATGAATTTCGATATAATTTATATGAAAATCAGATTATAAATAAAAAAATTATACTCCCTATTGTTTTGCAAAGTCAACATTTTCTAGTCAACCAATAAAAAAAGTCAATGCTCCTTATCGATAATTAATTTTATTTTTAATAATTAAAATTTATATATTCAAAAATTATATTAAATTTTCTTCACATTTGTAAACTTCAAATTAGAATATAATTAAAATTTGACATCCTAATTAAGCGAATAAAATGAAATTGTTTGACCAAGAAAAGTCAAATTTGCAAATCAATTTGAACGAGGTAGTATCGATTTAAAAAAGAGAGGAATTTTTTAAGTTTGGGTCCAGGAACAACTTCCTATTGGTTAACTCTTTTTAGCTTCTTTCGTGCATGTGTTACCCGCACTTATTTAGAAGAGTAGGGTGGGATAGAGGGAAAACTATCCTTGATAAAAAAAGGTGAAATCTCCTACCTAGAACCCCCACACCCCGATCGGAATCTCCTACCCCAGAACCCCCACACCTCAGAACTATCCTTGATCAATAGGCTCATATACCCCGTGCACGTCAGAGGTCTAATCCATTTCACAGGTTATGATCTCCACATGGTCGCTGCGACAACTCAAATCAGGATTCCTTTATCCAAATTTCCACCACTCGACAACTAAGATACGATAGGCCGTGGTTTGGCACATCTAACAACTAATTAATTTACCTACGCGATAGCTTCTTTTAAATCTATGTTAATCAGTTGACAATATAATATGCTCAGAAATTAAACACGCGATCTGTAAACAATTCTTAATTGACTTCTTCTTTTCTCCGACCGACCAGATCCTAGCTACTTCCCGATCACCACAATGTCAAAACTCGCCGGCGTTCATGTTCTTGCATTCCCATATCCAGCACAAGGCCATATGCTTCCTCTCTTAGATTTTACGCACCAGCTCGCCATCCGCAACCTTACAATCACCGTCCTCGTCACCCCCAAGAATCTCCCCTTCTTGTCCCCTCTCCTCTCCAGACACCCCACCATCAACACCCTCGTTTTGCCTTTTCCGGCGAACTCATCGATCCCCGACGGCGTCGAGAACGTCAAGGACCTCCCTCCCTCCGGCTTCCGTGCCATGATACCCGCTCTCGGCGGCCTCAAAGATGAAATCAAAGACTGGTTTCGATATCACCCTTCGCCGCCAGTAGCAATCATTTCCGACATGTTCTTGGGGTTCACCCACCGACTTGCCGTCGAGCTCGGTGTTCGCCGGTACGTTTTTTCCCCCTCCGGCGTCATGGCCATATCCCTCAGCCTCACCCTATGGAGAGAGATGACCAAGCGGAAGAATCCGGACGACGAGAGTGAGGTTTTCCGTTTTCCGGGAATTCCGAACTGCCCGGAATATCCCTGGTGGCAGCTTTCTCCGATTTACCGGAGCTACGTGGAGGGAGACCCAGATTCGGAATTCATCAAACAGTCGTACTTGGATAACGCCGTGAGTTCCGGACTTCTGTTCAACACTTTCAGTGCGCTGGAGGGGGTGCACACAGAGCACCTCAAGAAGACCTTGGTCAACGAGAGGATTTGGTCCGTCGGTCCACTCTTGCCTCCCGGCGACGAAAAGTCCGGGACGGCGGAGCGAGGCGGATCGAGCACCGTCTCAACCGATGACATACTGAGTTGGCTCGACTCGCGGGAAGACAACTCGGTGGTCTACGTTTGCTTCGGCAGTCAAGCAGTGTTGACCGATCGACAAATGGAGGCGCTAGCGCTCGGGCTCGAGAAGAGCGGAGTCAACTTCTTGTGGTCAACGAAAGCGCCCACGAAGGGACACGTTGGTGAAGGGTACGGGGCGATACCCACGGGTTTCCGGGAGCGTGTGGGCCCGAGGGGACGAGTGATCCAAGGATGGGCCCCGCAGGTATTGATTCTCAAGCATCGTTCTATAGCGGCATTCCTCACCCACTGCGGGTGGAACTCGACGCTAGAAGGAATAGTTGCCGGCGTACCGTTGCTGACGTGGCCAATGGGTGCCGACCAATACGTGAATGCGGGCCTCCTAGTGGACGAGTTCAAAGCGGGGATGAGAGTGAGTGAGGGACAGGAAACAGTGCCGGACTCGGACGAGTTGGCTCGTTTGTTAGGCAAAGCCGTGAAAGAGGGAGGCGGGGAGGTAAAGGCGCGTGCTTTGGAGCTGAAACAGGCAGCGTTGGATGCTATTATAGAGGGAGGCGATTCATTCAACAATCTGGACAACTTCGTCAACCACTTGAGTGAATTGGCTTCGGAACCAAAGGGAAACAAACAACTGTAAGCCAATTTGCCCGTCGAAGGCGCTATTTTTCATTTTGATTTTGGAAAATCCCACTTTTAATCTGAAATAGTTATAATATTGAAATGTAGATTCGCATTTCAGAGATTGTAAATGTCACATCTCAATGACCACATTTACGGGCTTACAGCAATTTGAATAATTGAGGATGTTATTTACAAATTCGGGAACACATATTTGACATTTTGGTGACATACTTTTTTTAATAATATTTTTAATAATACTCTTGTCCGTAGGGTCTCACAAATTATTCGGGGTCATTTCGTGCAAGTGTGCAACCGTGCAAGCCAAAATCGAAAACTAAATCAATAAATATTGAATCACAAATGAATTTTATCGGAACATAGTATTCAATGTATATAAATGAACTTGATTAGATTTCCGAATATTTTAATATTAGAACTAATCTATATTTTTTTATTACTACGGCGTTGCCTATATATTTTAGTACTCCCTTCGTCCCATAAAATTCTTCCCATTTTTGTTTTTGGGTCGTCTCAAAAAAAAATTCACAATCACAATCATACATTTCCACTTTCTTAATCTCCGTGCTAAGTCAAAGTGGAAGAGTTCTCATCCTCTCTTTTGAAATATACTCCGTATAAGACATGAGTATAGGGTATTTCTGTGCACACTTGAAATGCAAATGCAGGGGAGGAATGTTAGAGTTACCCCATTTTGTATCCCATTTTGTACCCCACTCTATGTTTGTGGCTCACAAAAATCCAACTCAATTAAATTAATTGCCCTATTTTAATGAAGTGCTTTTGTGAACCACAAACATAGATGTACAAAATGGGGTAACTTTAGCATTTGTGTAAAAAATATGGAATTAGTTTTTAAAGGTTCATAAATAAATATTGGGGTCATGATTTTGAGCAGTCCAAGTATGCACATATGTACATCATCCGTTAAACAATTAAGGTCTGTACCATTTCATATACCTGATTAAATGTATTCATGTTTATTATGGATGATCTTATGTGTTTACTATCCAAAAATTCTTTGATGAATTATTTATTTATTACGGAGTATATGATGCTAAAATTCTATATTCCAAGTTTGAATATAGACTTGTAATATTTGAAATTTGAATGGTAATTTATGGTTCTTTTGTAATAATTTATACTAGACCATGAAATATTTGTAATTTATACTACTAGACAATGTAATATTTGTAATATACCCAACAAGTTTCTTAGCATAGACCATAAAATTTAGTGAATATTACTTTCTGGAAATTTGTTTCAAGTTATGCTTGATGTCTGACTAATTTCACATAATGCAAAACAAGAACACCTAATATTTCATATGTTTTCTTGGTAATTTGGTTTGCCTAATTTACAGGTGGGGAAGTTACATAAATAGGAGTAAAATTAGGTCATGAAAGTGAAAAAACAAGAGTTGTACTTTTCGTGCATACGTATAGGAGGAAAAAGCCAACAAAAGCCTAAAACGTCATTTTTAAAAGATAGTTTGAAATACAAATCTCCTAATTTCTTCTAATATAGTCCGGGATCTAGAGAGAAGAGGCAAAACCTACATGTTTTTTAGCACCAAAGAATGCAATCTTTTTAAGATATGAAAGAAACCTAGCTAGTAGTTTATATATATATTGTTTGGTGTAAGAACTGAATTCTTTGAATTTTGGATCACAAAATAAGATATCTATTGTTTTATATAGTAAAACTGAGTTATGAGTAGCTTATTTGTCATTCCCTCATTGGTTGACAACAAATAAATAACATCACTTTTTATTAACATTTAATCATATTACGGGGCTAACAAAAAACTAAGAAGTATTAAATATATCCACTCTTTATAGCTAATTAATAGCTAAGAAATGAATTAACATGTGCCAACCAATTCAACAGGACTCTACATGGTTAATTAATAACTAAGAAATGAATTAACATGTGTCAACCAATTCAATAGGACTCTACATGGCTAATTAGTAGTTAAGAAACAAATTAACATGTACTGGTCAAATAGGACTCTACAATACTTACTATCCCAGATTAGACCAAACCAGACCAGATCATATCAGACTTAAATAGATCAGATCAGACTTAAGCAAATCATACCAGACCAGACTTCGACAGTTATAAAATACACAGAGATAAGACATTTACCGTACTAGATCAAACCGGTTTAGACCAAACAAGACCAGATCGGAATTAAACACACAAGACGAAACAAGGTCATACTAGGTCATACCAAACCAGAAAATTTCAGTCGAATTAAAAACATTCTAAATAAATAGTGCCAGATCGGAATAAAAATAACTGTTTTATAAAAGAAAATATAAAATATAATGTATAATTATGCCAAAAATGCATTAGTAGTCATAAAAGTCATTCAAAATAATACTAGTGCGGCATAAAGTTTCAAAACCTTCATCACACAATTACGCAGAAACACATAACTAACCATAAAAGTCATAAGGGTAATACTAGCGCGGCATATAGATAAAAACATTCATCACATAATGTCATAGTTTCATTAAAAAAATGTTCTTAGAATCTTCATCATTCCATCGTCTCATCATCCTCGTCATCAAATTGGCCTTGTTCTTCTTCACCCATAACTAAAGTATCAAAGTCCTCACTATCATCATCATAGACTCCAGCATCCTCCTCAGTCCTCATCTTCATCAACAAGTCTATGGGTGGAGGCCTTTTCTTTTCCCTTGGACTTGAAACTTTCTTCTTTATCTTTCCCTTTAGAATTGCGTCTAAGAGAATATGGCGTATCATGTACACCAGAAAACTTCGCAACCTCTCTCCAGGTCAAATTATCTCCGTAATCAAAGACCAACTCTTCATTTGCATCATCAACTACACCGGTCAACCATTCATTTGTCATGTCTATGTAATCCAAGCAAATAGGATCTATAGAATCACACATTTCCCAACGACGTCTCAAAGCCCTATTGTACTTAACAAATACCAAATCATTGAGGCGGTTGTATTCGAGACGACTTCTCCTCTTCGAATGCAACTCTTAAGCAATTAAAAAATTTTAGTTAGTCAAATGAATGGAAAAATTGAAATTGACCTACACTCTTGCATTAGAATAACTATTCATACATGTTCAAATACACTCCAGTTCCTCTCACATCCCGATGCACTTGTTTTTAAGCTGAGAAGCTTAAATGAAAATTCCTTTAAATGGGGAGCACTGGCACCGAAATATGTCCACCAATCAACTATAAAATGAATTTAAAATGTTAAAGCCACTCTAAATTGTAATAATTTTTTAAATAATATAAATTGATGAATAGATATTAACCTGGGGGTTTAACGCCTCGTTGTTTCTTCGCAAATGAACTGCTAAATAGTCCGCGTCGTGATTCCCAAATGGACACCTCACTAACAATTTTTGCTTGAAGTTCTTCATTTGGAACCAACCTCTCCAAACATTCATAAAACCCACTCACCACGTCAGCTGAATTTATGGTAGAAGATACTGGTGACTCACCTAAAAATAAAAAAAATCCGGATTCAAGAAGAAAGCAGTTGCGTTCAACGGATGACGAAGTTGAGAAGTCCATCTGGAGTCTATTATGTCAAACACTTTCTTGTACTTGGATTGGTTGTAGTTGAAGGCTTTGGCTATTGCTGCTTTTGTCAATTCCATTGCAGGATAGACATATCACATCTCTATCAACCATTCGAAGGATTGACATAAGTGATCCTCCAACTTTCAGTGCCTCATGAAGTGTGTCCAAAAGGACGACATCTGGACAATTCTACCACACTCCTTTATAGCCTCTTCTTTGGATTAGTTGCTCGTTAGGAACTCCTCACAATTGAAAAGCTTGATCAACTTATTCTTGTGCTCCTTTAACCTCTTGAATGTCAAGAAAGCGGTGACAAATCTTGTCTTAGCAAACTTCACCAACTCTCTCTTCCCGGTGAATTTCCTAAACAAGTTCAACAATTTGGTTTTTGAATGGATATAGACCGACAATATCAGAGCTCTTTCATAGGTTGTCTGGAAGTTCTTAAGCTCAAATATGTCTTTGAAGACCAAATTGATGCAATGAGCAGCACACGGTGTACAATAAATTGTTCGGTACTTCTCCATTAAATCCTTGCCTAAACGATAAGAAAATGAAAAGAATAATTAAATTTAACTAAATTATATATTAGAGATTATGAGTTTAAGTATAAAATAAACTTACCAGCTTTGACATTTTCAGAAGCGTTGTCTGATATAATTTGAACAACATTTTCCCCTCCAACTCTATTCACAAAGAGTTCAAAGAGGCCAAGCATCTTCTCTCCATTCACAATGTCCAAACTTACTTCAACTGATTGGATAAAATAAGACCTAAGTGAACAATTAACTAACACATTGATATAAGCGCGATTCCTTCTATCAGTCCACTTATCCATCATCAATGAACAACCATATTGCTTGCAAATATCCTCATGTGGTTTAAAAAAACTCCTTCACATGCTCCACTTCCTTTTTAAGATATGTCACTCGAACTTCATGATAAGTAGGAGCTTTCATCCTGGGTCCATGTTGTGCGACAACATCAATGAAACTTTGTAATGTCTTGTAATTTACACAGTTAAAGGGCAATCCAACTTCATACATCCATTGTGCAAATGCACCAACAACCCTTTCCCTTAACTCTTTTTTGCAAGATGCTAGAGTTAGTTCTACCCCTCTTGCCCTCTTCAAAGTTCCATGTTCTTTTGAAACCATTTTTAAATACAAATTCATGGGCCCTTTGGTTGATATGATTTGCTCATAACATCTCCAAGCTCCAGCTCTTCAACATCATCATCATCAAAATCATGGGTGTAAAAGTTCTCTCTCATATCTTCTTTTCTTTTACTTTTGTTATCAAGAAGCTCCTTCACGGCAACTCTAACTTCTTGTGGACACTAAGGACACGCCTTAAGAAATTTAGAGCCACCGACAAGATGTTGTTTGTGACGATATATACCCCCACTTGTGATTTTATCACAATATATGCATCAAACACATGCGTAATTGTTTGGCGTGACCCTTAACCCATGCTCCCATGCAGATCCTGACTTTTAGATTGTTCTACAGACATTTTTGTCTACAATTCTACATATACATGTTTCACAAAATAACATTGGCTCTTTTAGTTTTCCAAAAAAATTACAGGATGTTTTGGAAGATGATTATACAAACAGATTACAGAGAGTAAGATAGAAACAAAGTTGGATAAGCTGCGGAA